CGACAACTCGTGCAGCACTTGCGACGGGAACTGTCGTTACTGACGGACAGTTGTCTTCATGGGGTCCCTGTCCACAGGGCTGAGCCATTGTCATCGCCAGCAGTGGTCAACATAAAGCAAAAAAGGGAACAAATATACCCAACAGTAGGAGTGGTAGTAGTGATGGGAGTAGTGATGGGAGTAGTGATGGGAGTAGTGATGGGAGTAGTGATGGGAGTAGTGATGGGAGTAGTGGTGATGCGATGCCAGTCTGGGATGGTGTCCATCGATGACAACTATACACTAAATATGGGCTTAAATTAGGCATTAAATCAAATAAAATAAAAATCAAAATAAAATATAAACTAAAAACCCCGGAGCCGGGGGTTGACCTGTACATCGATAATTATTAATTATAGAGAGAGAGAGAGAGGGAGAGAGACGACTTGTGTGAGACAAGAGCTGCACACAAGTGACCAAAACTAGGATAGAAAGCAAACCAACAAAACTATAAAATACTAACTTTTAGTTTAAATCTTATCATTAAAAGTGAATAAAACTTAGATTTCAATGGAAAATACCATCAAATGTGAGGTGTTTTGTAGAAATCTAACGGTGAGTATAAACTTTGTAATAAGCCCTAAACTGAGCCTTGATTTCTAGATTTTGAACTTAAAATTGTGAGTATATCTCAACTGCTTAAATACATGTCATGTTAATCCACACAACTTTTGCTTTAATTTCATTATTAATCATTGAATATAAATATAATTTGTTTGAGTTTGAGTTTAGACTCATTGTAATTTGTAAATAAATAACTTTACCGCCATAAATAAAACTTAAAAATCATTCATTTTTAAATACTTCCATTTAAAATGCTTTAATATCTACAAAATGGGTTATCAATAAGTTTTATAATCAATTTTTGTTACATTAATTTACTTTTTAATAAATATGAAATTGTTTCTAAAGAAAAAAGTTAATCTATTTTATAAATCTCTCCAATTTCTGTGTCGATCACAACTTCATCTCCAGTTTGAAAGAGTCTGTGGGCGCCCCCCACGCCCACCAAACACGGCAACCCATATTCCCTGGCTATGACCGCACCGTGCGATATAAGACCTCCTATTTCGGTGGCCAAACCCGACAGCATTGGGAAGTAAGGACTCCAACCGATGTCTGTGCTATAAGTGATGAGTATATCTCCATTCTGTTTGTATCAACACATGTATCAGTAATTAATTCTTTGATGTCTGACCACAACCTGAATATTCTGTGCCTCATCTAAACTCATGGCTACACAACATCGACCTCTTATTTTGCCGGCACTGACTGGCGTTCCTTTAATTCTGGCGACCCCTTCGCTTAACACAATGTTTCCAGAATCTAGATTATCCTTAAATTGAAAGAAATGATAAATGAAATGTACAAATATACACAAAAACAATGAATACATTTCTGGGTCTCATATTTGGTCCAATACTTGTTTCATCAAATTTAAACTTCTCTTGAATTGAGTGCACTTTCCTTCTGAGTCTAGCTCTGCCTATAATAGTGGGATCCCTTTCATTGAGTAAAGCGTCCACTTCTGGTAAAGTCATATGGAATAGTAAATCAGGCTCCGGTAGTCTACCCTCGGATACCATAAGTTTAGCCAAACGCCAAAACCCTCGCCTATAATGGTTGACATTCTTTCATTGAGTAAAGCGTCCACTTCTGGTAAAGTCATATGGAATAGTAAATCAGGCTCCGGTAGTCTACCCTCGGATACCATAAGTTTAGCCAAACGCCAAAACCCTCGCCTATAATGGTTGACATTCTTCGTCATATAATGCTTGCTCTGTTCCCTAAGACTGATACCGCTCTGACACCACGGGATCAACAGATACTTAAGCAGTAGTTTCTTGGAGAAAGTGAGCCGTGTTTTCAACGACGAAATCGTTTCATCGATTGTTTTGGATATCTTTAGCCCCAGAGTCCGGTCGCCTTTGGGTTACAAATCATATTACAATTAGTTGTAATCAAAACAGTCATTTAATTCTGTAAAGTGTTTTAGAGTTACAAACCGATTAACATTGTTTTGAGCGATTTAACCACCGAGATAGGATTGTCTGCCCATTGGAGTGCCATCGGATCAAACTCTTTGTACCCTCTGTGACCGTATTCTAACAAAAACTTCTTAAACTTGATGGACGCTGTTGTGTCCGAATGGAGTAAATATTTGAGAGCCCTTTCATCACTCAATTGTCGAAATTGTTGTCTATTTTCAATAGAGATTGCAATATCTCTGAGCAGATTAGGTACCTGAGCGCTCACCACCTGATTAGCGCACGAAACTAATTCACCAAAATCTGAGTAACTATTTGCTAAAGAAATTTAAAAATAGTTTTATATTTAGTTCAAGAATTTCATCTAAAAAGGATTAAAACCTTCGTTATTATCATTATTACTCTTCTTTAGAATATCGAGAAGAACCACATTATAAACCATTGAACAAATAGTAGCCTTTCCGTGAGCGTAGGCCATCTGTGCCTGCAAATGAGCCGTTTCTAGTAATGTCTTGAATACGTCTTTCGCTGTAAAAGCAATTCTTCCCTCAAATATATCAAAGTTTTTGAGCCCTTTCTGCGCTTCTCTTATAGTGACTCCTGGGGTCAGAAAGTATTTGAATGAACCCAAGAATATCCAGATTTTCGTTGTTAACGGCATTGACTTTTTGGGCGCCTTTTCATTAGAATCGGCTATAAGTTCATTGTATTCATCGCCAAACTCGTGACCAAACATTCCGATCTGAATGCACTTTGATATTCTAGACCTCGCATCGCCAACAAATGGGAAAGTGCCCTTCAAATGGTGCAAACATTTAAGATTATTAGATTATTACCGGTATTATCCATTACAATTTTTAATAAATATATTCTCGAAAAAAAATTAATACCGATTTTAATATGAAAAAGTATTGATTGTTTACAGTACCGCCGCCTCTATTAAAATACGCACAAAATTCTTTCTTAGATAAGCCAAACATTTTACGATAAGATTTCTGTAATTGTTTTAAACAAATATAAATTTAATGAACAAATTATGGACTACTGGACGGGACTGGACGGGACTGGACGGGAATGGACTCACGAATCCATTAGCATTCCAAACGGTCAAAATCCAAGACAGGCCTAAGTGAGAGGTGGCGCCCGGAAATACTTCACCCAAATTAGCCCTCGAAAAGTATTCACTCTCCGACTGCTGTCCGGAATCCATTTCATGCATTGCCTCCCAATCCGACCAATTGTTCAAATGAGTGATGGGTCGGGATTGCAATAAATATATCTCGTTGTCTCTTATTCCCCATTCAATATCCCGAGGATTGCCATAAAACCGATGCACTTCTAGCGATACTTCACCCAATGTTGTGCACTGGGAGTCACTTAAACAGCATTCATCGCTATTAACTGTATTCACTTCAATAGTTCCGCTCTCGTTATTATCGTTCAATATAATTGACTTCAATTTGGATCCGATTTCTATGCTTTCAATTCCTATCAAAAGAATATAAATCATATAAATGTTTCTCAATTTTAATTAAACATAATTAAAAATTCAATTACCGGTAATGTTTCTCTTATGAAGCAGTGAATTGGACTCAATTTGGACATTAAGTCTGATAGTGTCGGGCTCTGCAGCGGCTGACACTACACTCTCTCCGATCCCATAATTACCAGTTATAACAACATTGCGTTCGTCACCAGACAGTGGATCACATGTCAAGATAACTCCCGCCGCCTGACAGTCAATCATCTCTTGTATGACAACAGCCATCGGACTATTAATTTCCTGTCCGTACCCTCTCTTATACTCGACGGCAACGAATTCAAACTGAGACGACCAGCACTTCATAACAGCATTACTAATGTCTTCAATGCCTTTAACGCCTAAAATTGTGGTCATTTGTCCGGCGGATGACATCTCTTCCGAGTCTTCGCTTAAGGCCGACGAACGGACGGCAAAACGAATTGATTCAAAGTTTTCTCCGAAAATTGTTAACAAATTTGTCTCAATTTCTTCTCTTATAAGTTGCGGTAATTCTTGTTTTGCAAACTTTTCACTCACTTCTTGGCAACACTTTTGCAATAATTCTCTTCTTTCAGACCTTTAAAACAGAAATTATTTGTAACACAATATAATCGCTTTATCATTGTAGCTATACTGACCATGATATTTTCTCTATCTTTTCAATTTTATTTTGTAAATCATCGGAATCGTTGAAAAGACAATTGTATGCGTTTGTAGTAACAATCACTCCATTTGGTACCACAAACTGTGTCTCACAATTGCCGGACAATTGCATGAGAGATGCCAATGAAGCGCCTTTGCCTCCACTCACACTGACATCCACTGCCTTTGGATCAGTTATGGATAAAATTAATTCTGGTGTTTTACCACAAACTGTGTCTCACAATTGCCGGACAATTGCATGAGAGATGCCAATGAAGCGCCTTTGCCTCCACTCACACTGACATCCACTGCCTTTGGATCAGTTATGGATAAAATTAATTCTGGTGTTTGAGGCACTGGTAATTTCTGTTGAACCGGGTTAATTATATCTTCACCATTAAATTCTTCAAACACAACAACACATTTGCCTATTTGTCCGTTTAATTTCATTTCACAAATGGAAATATTGCCTTGCTGCTCATATGACTTATCAATTTGAATCTCAAATTCTCGGTTTTGTTCCTTTATTTCTAACTTGAATTTAGTGAGCGATGAACCAATCGCTTCGAGTTCATTGAATGTACAACTGATGTCTGATACAGAATAAACTGTGCCTACACCTAAACTTACATAGCCATATCTAAACCTAAATTTAAGTAAAAACTAATGTTAACATAACAATAAAAGTTAATATGAATTATAGGCTATGATAACTAAATTAATACTAAATATAATTAATTTTAAATAAAATACTGACCGATAATTATGTAGAGATCGTACGGCGCCGACATGAAAAGCAAAGCTCTTACACGAGAAGCCATAAATTCTGACCGCCTTTCGGTTGTCCCAACTGTTGAGGTATTGTTTGAATTTATTTCCCCATAAAAACACATCTTTACTCAATTGATTGTCAAACTGAACCGAACCGACCAAATGTCCCCATTGTTCGTGTCTTTCCTCTTCAATCAATTCACTGATACCTAAAGCACTCAACTCTTTGGCAATAAATTTGGGGTCGAAATCATTTTGAAAGTCAAATACACTGGAGATCGGAGACCAGAATAATGTGAATTTTGAAAATATCAATTCATTTGTATTTTTATTCCTAAGATATCCACGAAATTTAATCCGCAATTTCCTGAACGGAGACAATACCTCCACATTTAGCCCAACAATTCTGTAGTGCTTTAACTTATCATTCGTTTTAATTGTCAACAAATCGTTTTCATTTAATTCGTATATTAATCCGCTTTCATCTCTGTATATGAGTCTAACATTTGCATTAATTTTATGATTGTCTTGTGGTCTCCATTTAATCTCAATTATCAAATACTGTCCCCAAGTGTTTGTGCCATAAATTAGCAAATTCTCACATTTATTCTGTAAATATTAAAGATAATAAAAATTTATTACAATCCATTCATAGTATTGAAATATTTTTGATATTAATATCAATCTTGAAAGTTATCAAACTTCACAGAAATTATAATTTTATTTACTGTAGTTTTAGAAAGTTCAATATTATGACCTGAAATTACAAAATATTTCTCAAATAGAGAACTATAATCTTAATTTTTCAATGTTAATGTAAAATAAATTATCATGTGATCTGTATACTTCATTTACATTATGTTTTTACAGTATGCACTTTATAACATCATACAGTATTATTCTGTGATGTAAGGCATACAAGGTACCGTATATTCTAATTACAATTCCGTATATTATACTGTAGTATAAGGTTTTTATTATTTAGAACTTATTATCCAGTAAAATTACATGAAAAACTTAAATTTCTTACCTGATTAGGACATTCATAATGCCATTCCTCTTGTCGTGGTAATAGCCCAATAGCATAGGGGTCTCCCTCGATGTCCACATCATGAAACTCGAATCTTCCCTTTTTATGATAGTCTTTCACATAAAACTTAAATATATGAGACAAATATGTACTCCAATTGCCTTTAATTGATTTATGCAAATCAATTATTTTGGTATAAAGTTTACGCACAAATAATAATGAAATTATTACACCCATGATTGATTCAATTACCACAAATGTCTTTAAATTACAACATTTATAATCAATTAAGTATTTTATTCAATGCCAGAATCTTATCACATATTCTTATCATTTTAAATAGTGTTATAGTCTATATCAGATATAAACAAATGAAAATATTTTACATTAATACTTAAAACAATTATTGAATAAAATTTTATCACTTTTATAAAGAAAATCAATGCGAGTATTATTTTTTATTTAATCAAAAGTTTTGATTCAAAACTAAATACAGTACTGAATCAGTACTACTGATGCAGTATTACATTTAAAAACTATTATACTATCTCATATACTAACTTATTTATATTAATACAATTTCTAAAATAATTAAGTTATTAAAGAATGCTTTCAATTAATATCAAATGTAACAATATTTTACTTTTATGTAATACTATTACAAATACTGTAGTATATATAATTATATATAATTACATATAAAACAGGTTTTAAATGAATAAAGATTGAATTTAATGCAGTCCCATTTGATGATTTATAATACTTTGTTAATATTGTGATGAATAGTAATGATATGACAATGTATACAGTAGTCTATTAATTTGACAGCATATTACATAAATATTTACAAAATACTACTTCTGAATAAAGTTTATATTTTTACCAATTTAATAAAATCATTTTGCTAATTTTAATTATAAAGTTTTAAATACATAAGTATTTTTTATTCTAATATAATATTATAATTTATATTAAAATCTAAATGGTATTTACTGTATTAATTATACACTGAATAACTTGCTTTATTAAAATTCAAGGCTAACCACAAATGTTATGTATAAATGTAGATTTGTATGAATTTATTGGACAAAATTTTAAAATCAAATTCAAATATTCAAGAACAATTTGTTTTAAAATATTTGTTTCATACAGAATATATAATATACCGTATATTAGACTCAAAACATAATGACAATTATTCTGTTAATAGCTAAACTTATGGTCAATAGTATTATCTCAATACTTCTAAATTATTTTTATAAACAATTGTTTTTGTCTAAACTGAAATGAATTTATTTGTAGAAAATAAGTTATAAAAATTTATAAAAATCATAATCTTTTAGATTAAGTTTAAAAACAATTTAAAGTTTTATTTATTAATTTATAATTTGTTAATCTGCAAGTATTAGTAAATTATGGTTTTGTTTTATATTACAACAATTCTAAGTTCTACAAAATGATAACAAATTTATGGTTAATTAATATTTTATATATTATATATTTTTATAAAATATAATATGAGTTATTGAAAATATAAAAGCTAAATTGTCATATTTATGACATTATCATATTTTGATTGATTTGTACTATCAATTCATTGATTTAAAGTCCAGATGAGTGCACGACATGTAATTTTGCACACTATTTGACACTCTAACTGACATATAATTCACTAAAATATAGGATTGTATAAACTAAAAGCTTTATATTATTTTAAATGCTTTATAAGGTAGTTATCAGTGGAAAAATATTAATGCATTAATTGATAAGATGTTAGCATTTAGTTGACTGCATTGGTATTTTCAAAACATTACACTTATTATTGTTATTATAACTTCTTATTCATCGATGATATCATCAAATATTCTTAGATATAAACCATTAAAATAATTAAGAGATAATTATCACTCCAATACCGGTTCAATATTTATTACAATATGTATGGTATAAAAATATTTTACATTAAATGCAATATGAAAAACAAATGACCACTAAATTAAATAACTAAAATATATATGATTAAGATAATTTAGATAATAATACAAAGCATATGCTAGACATCAAATAAATATTTATATATAAACTGCTGAATAAATTGAATGAATTGTTACAATCACTAGAATGGTATGCATACTTGGTACAAAATGTTTTACTACATTGATTTTTAACTTGTTGTAAATAATCAATGTATGTTTCATTGTGGGCACATTTCTGATTGATATCCATGACATTCATGCCATCGACGAGACAGTCTACTGCGGCCCAAACACCACAACACCCTTCCCTCGTCTTGGGCTGGTATAAGATGTCCTCAATTTCTGTTTGATATATTTTGGAGGCCGAGTCCACACAAGACAGTCGCGTGGCATCCATATAGAGCTTACATTCTTTGTATTGGTTGTCCGTGTCTTTAGGTTTCACGTCTTCCCAAATGGTCGTCCAAATTGTATCGTTTTTATCGGTCTCACAGTTCATTGCATGCATTAACAAATGCAGCAATGAAATTCTTAATATCACCTTGCTCACAGACATTATATTTAATTAAATATAAATAAAACTATAATTAGTAATTGTTGCTTATCTATAAATGGTTTAAATTGCGATAATTCTAATTTATAAATACATTTTTGACCGAGAAAGTTTTACAATTAACATATTTGTTGTGTTCAATAATTTACATGAATGGTACGAAATAGAGTTAATTACTAAAACTAAGGTTTCTGTACAATATACCAATTAAAGATATTTGTCTTGACTTTTATAGCAAATTGATAATTATTAAAGTATGTATTAAAAAAGCAATTCTTATCGTCCCTACAATGAACACTAAACGTCTGAATGTGACATATAATGTGTTGATAGCGTTAATTCCTTTTGAATAAATTGTTTTCCAGAAAGTTTCACAGTTACGATAAATAATAGTTTAATCATAATAATAGTAATATCAGTGGGATATTACACTTAATAGAAGTTGCCATAAAATTTTGAAATAGTTATTCTTTTCCAACTAAAGTCAAATCAATAATGCATGTGCTCTGGCACCCACCTTTCATTATTTTATTTAATTATAAATCAACAAAACGAAAGTGTGTTTCATTTTTATCTATATTTTTAAATTATATCTGTTTAATTGGCTATAATTTATAACTTTTTTATTGGGAAGATTTATTTTGAATAATTTGATCATTTTATTTACGAAAACAAATTATTTTGAACAAATATTTAAAATAAAATTTAATTTACTTAATTGGAATTTATATTAACTTAAAAATAGGATATTTATGGACTATAAATTATAGTATTATAGTGATTATAATTATAAGAATTAGTTAACAAAATGCTCGGATTATGAACTGTGAAATAGCGATAATGCATAACTATACAAATGCAAAACTTTAATATTTATTACCGGTAGATCTTATAACAATTTCTAGTCTTATGGCACCATTTACTTATCAGTTCTACCTTTGAACCAAAACTACACCCGGGTCTGGACTCATATCATAATTACAATCAAGACTTACTGTTAAGTTACGACATTGAATAATACAGTTGTTTCATACAATTAATTGATTACGATTACTAATACAATACTTTCGTGCAATGTATTGGTTAACGAAAGTTACGAATACATATGAATAGGAAGACAACGATCGTTATGATGACTACCGATGCGATGATAGTGAGAAGAATGAGCCAAACGGGGATCCGGCACTTCCACGACCCCTTCTGGTAGTCCCGACACAATTGCGGCGATACTAACATCGGATTGAATTGAGTCGTGTATAACTCAATATCCTTGTGATCGACTTTGC